CAACCTACCTATCAGTATTCATACATGGCTTTCCATCGCCACTGTGCCTGAATGCCTCCAGCACAATGCAGGACACCTCTCCAGGACAGCCAGGAGAGGTGAGCTTGAACCCAGTGCTCGGCTGGCAAAAATCTGCAGTTCAGCCCTGGCTTCAGTCAGCAAAAACATGAGAAAGAGAAGCAGGAGAGTCAAAGCAGCACCATCCCCTAGAAGGATGTGTGGCACTCGTGTCACTGCTGGCCAGACACTCCTCCCTGGGGAGGAGCAGGACGGCGATCTTTGTGGGTGACCAGGAGCCAGATGCACTCGTCTGGCTGGGCCTGCAGGAGCTGGAGGTGTCTGCTGTTGCCCAGTGCTCCTGGGTACCAGTCCTCCACCTGACCAGCATCAGAGCAGGTCCATCTGCTGGGCCTAGGCCAGACCTCCTGCTGTCAGCACGCAGCCGACACGCTGCGCCAGAAGCCTCAAGCTGAAGCCCTGACTGGTGACCATGCTCAGGCCCAAGCTGGAAGCAGCGTTCCCCGCTTCTGAGGCCAGCCTCGGAGACAGGCAGTGCCACATCCTTCCACAGAGGTCAGCTGGAGGATCAGCTACAGCGTACTCACCCCTGCAAGGTTTAACTGTGGCTGCAACCGCCCCAGTTACAAACCCAAGCAACATCTCCCAAGGTTGTGACAGCAAACTGCCCCCCCCTTTCTCTGAACTAAGGGCTCTTGCTCATGGTCTCACAAGTTGTCTGCTTTTGAACCATTGAGTACTTGAAGCTTTTTCTGACAGAATTTCCAGTTGTTTCCCCACTGTGTAGGAAAGTTTGTGTAGGTAGTTATAGCTACTAAGGAGTAATCCTCCTCACTGAACCACGTGTTATTTATTTGAGATCATTTTCCTGTAGATAGCCAGGAAAAAAGAAATAGAACCACCTTTGGATTACTTTTCCTAGATGGGACTTTCAGAGGAACAATTCCCTTGATACCAGCTCTAACGCAGACACTTCTCAATTCTGGGAAAGCTGCTGTCACCAGAAGCACAGCAGCCTACAGCCAGGGTTAACCAAGGCAGTGGAAGAGAAAGCCCACAGAAAAATACCTGGGACACGTTTTCCACACTCCACGTTTCACACACGACTGGGGCCCAAGGGAAGACAGCCCCCCTGCGCACTGTTGTGACGGGTGGCATACTAGATGACTCCACATGCTTACAAGCACAGATGCCCTCCAGCACATACAATGCAGGTGATGAGTCAATTTTCAGCAGTTGCTTTCCGAGAGTCATCCTTTCATCACATCCTCTCAGGCTGACAGTGCATTTCCCCCCAACTTCAGTGACTTGGGGGAGTCAACACAGACGTGAAAGAGGCTTCCTAGCAATGCAACAGCTTGCCTCACCTTTCTCCTGCACTCAGGAGAGCAGATCCGGCTCAGGCTGGGAAGTCACAGCTCACCATCAGTGCCCTCCTTGTGACCTCTTTCACCATCCACCTACTTTGCATTCAGAGCTAATCACTCAGTAAACCCAAGCTATCTCCACCTCGGAGGGAGCAGAGAAGAGGGGATGTATTTGAGCTCAAGCCTTACAGCAGACCCCACAGAAGTTGGAAAAGATGCTCCCACTCTGCACATTCTCTTCCAGAGGCACAGATTAAGGTGGATGGACTGTCAGGTCTTCTCCTCCATCTAAAAGTACAAGCCAAAAGCATCACTTCCTCGACAAAGTTGTAGACACTTTGTCTTCCCCCAACACAGAACAGAGGCACAGTGTTAGCAGTGAGGCAGTATCCAGTCCCAAAAGCGTCTCGGTATTTAGTCACAGAAGGACACAAAAAGCAGACAGCAGCATTTTCAGGTATGCCAAAACTGAATCTCACTATTAGCCTGACTGACTTCAGCCTCCTAGCCATCTTCAAAAATCCTGCAGTCTGTGATGATGTTGCCATGTGCCAGCTGTCAGACTCCAGAGAGGAGCTGTATCAAAGGCACTCTGGAAAGAAATCAGATCCAGTTAAGATACAGCTGCCAGAAGACAGCAAGCACCCCTTATGCTCACATTGCTGCAGCCACATGAGATGCAGCGGTGAGGCAAGTACTAGCTGTCTGGACAATTGTTCAGTCAAACTTAATAGGGCCAAGGAGGAAGTCTGCCAGACATGCCACCTAGACGTTCTCCAAGCAGCTCTTCTATAGCATGCTTCCGCAGCACCGGATTAATGACGACTCTGGCTGGGAGCTTCAGTCACCTCTGTGAAGCTGCCTGGGCTGTAGATAGGGGCAGGGCACAATCCACAGCCCTTCCTGGGGGGCTGTGCAGGGGTATGTGCTACTGATTCCTAAGGATTAAAACCAGCCTCCTCTTAATGTCTATACTTAAAAGAATCTTCTTTACTTAAGTGGATTCATTAGGAACACTATAAACCACACACGCAAAGCCACTCACACTACAAGATGCACTGTGTCATCCCCTGCCTGGCAGAGGAAGGAGAGTGTCAGAGGAGCACCACGCTGTTCCTCACACAGACCACCATGCAGGGAAGACCCCGCCCTGAAGGAACACAAGCCACTGTCTGTCCACGCACCTGACAGGCACTGAGCTGAGGTAGCACGGGACACCCTGGCTTCTTCTCCAACTAGAAGAGGCATGCACAGTGCTGTGACCAGCACAAAGGAATTGTTTGTCCCCCCCTTGCCCCAGCAGCTGTTTCAGCAGAAGGGAGTTTGACAGTTTCTACCCTCACAACCACAATCAGAAGCTGTACCAGAACCCCTCACTCTGTGGAGGGCAGGTCTTCAGATCACGCATAGCAGAAAGCTGCTTTCTCCTGAGCCCGTGATTACAGTTGTTCCGTTTTAGTGAAACTGGACACCACTGGTCTTAAATAACGCATCCCAGCAGCTACACACTGAAGCTTTCCAGAAAACGTGCTCTGACTCGTCACTTCGCACTTTTCTATTGATCCAAGTCTCCCTGCACAGGGAGCTGAATGCTCTGCTGCAGAAATCAAATACAGAGCGCTGGCCTGATAGGAAGCAGCACGAATAACACACAAAGCATAGAAGGCGAGGCAAAAACAAGACTCCTATTCTCATCCTGCAGCAAGAGACTGTTCTGGGAAAGCTCTGCCAGCCTCATGCTCCAATATCTTTCTAGACAACATGAAGGCACCACAAGCCCCTACAAGCTTACAAAATTCCTCAGAGCTCTTCCACAGTGCTCAGCTGCTGATCATGCAGACCATCCTGTACAAGGGCCCTACCTGCTCTGGAGTTCACTGACCAAGGCAGCCTTGAGCTTGAGGATTAGCTGTAATAGTGGCGCAATCTCCCTGAAATCAGTCAGTCCAAGGAAGCAGGTTGGAAAAGGCTGAAAAAGCAGCAAGGCCTCAGCCCCTCACTGGACCTGAACTACATGCAGGATTTCAAGAGGTGAAATAGCAGCATTTAAATCCTCTGTGCAGGATCTGCTCTGGTGTTGGCTTTACGCACAGTCTGTGCACGTAGCAGAACTGCAGATTGAAACAGTATGAAGACCCCATGGCTCTGGCACAAACACCCTGAACGTGAACCAGTTGCTCTGGTTAAGAAGAGGTTTGTGACAATCCTGCAAATGCTGTCTGACATTTCCAAAGCATCATTCCAATTGCACCATTCACAATCTGATCAGAGAAAACACAGCTGCCCATGGCTCCTGGAGGCACTCACTCCTTGGCCCAGGGCAAGAAATGCCATTATCAGCACAAGGTCCAGGTAGCAATTCCAAATCCAGGCCTAGTCTGCAGGCAAATCTCAGATACCTGTAATGGCAAGGGTGGATATTTTACAAGGATAGTGCTATTATTACCAGAATGCCAGGAAAAAGCAGCATATTCCTCTCTGGCCATATTAGAAGGGGCTGTACTGACAACTGTATCCACACTGGGACACAGGCTGCATAAGCAGAACAAAGCTTGTGCAGCCTGCCTTCCCCAAAGGCAGGGCCTTTCCAAGGAAGGACAGACTTGCTTTTTGGCCTGCATAACAATGCTTCAAGGGAGAAACTTGAGGCAAGTAGAAACCCTGAATTCCTAAGCTCATGGCCATCTCCCAGCTGATATTGTCAGAAAGACAAAGGGAACAAACTTGGTAAACTCTTCACCCTCCCTTCCCACTGCAGGTAAGGCGGTATTAAGCACCCCAAACAGGACCCTGTGGCTCTCGCCTGCTCGCCCATGACATTCCCTTTGCACTGAGCTGCAGTTTCCATCCTTAACGTGTTCCCAATCCCTCCTGCTCCTTCTGCAAGAACCAAGACTTGCTCTGCCAGCAAATACCTTTGTGTGTGGTGTTTTTTTTGCTCAATGGATCATGTGGCAAATATGGTGCAGAAGTATCCCCCTGGTTCACCTCAGAGCAATTAGCCATTTGCACAACATCCAGGGTTGCACAGACCCTGTGACGAGATCAAAGCTGATGGGGGAAGGTGGAGTTTACATAGCTGGTTGCCACACCATTCAGTCAGTTTCCACCCGATAGCCTAATTTAAAGAACAATGCTAAACTGGAACAGGAATGAACACACAGCTGCAGGTTTAAAAAGAGAGCACCCTGCTATTTACAAAGGCTGTATTCACCTTTGTGGATAGATGCACTCTGTCCACATCTGCTGTCAAACCAGCCTCGGATCTGGAGAGGCAGTACCTACACTCATCCCTCCTTCGGGACTCCAAGGGGACTGTGGCAAGGCTGCTGCAAAGCCTTGTTGGAGGGAGTGCTGTGACACAGACTGCCCTCGCTCAGGAGCAGCAGGGAAAGGAGTCTGGCTGTATTCCAGAAATGTCATAAGCAATTAGGAGTTTGATGAGCTGTGGGGGCAACAAACCTCTCTGCACCAGCAGGGGGAAAGCCGCCCTGCTGATTCATTTGCATGCTTTC